GCCACAAATAGCAAATTTCTTACAATTCCTCCAGAGTGCCAGTCAGCCTTGCTCTTTACTAAATTTCCCAGAAGCCTACCAAGGCTGCCCTGTGGATTTCCTGAGTCACATGGTAGAGCTGAGGATAATGGGTTTCATGTGGGGCCCCCTCTACTCCTCTCTGGTTCTCAAGGGCATGGGTAAGGCTAGAGTCCATCCACCCCAGTGGAATTCAGAGAGAAGGGAATTGGAAATCATGAGCTTTGGCCTGGGTCTTTCAGATGCCAGAGAATCCCCCAGTATAAGGTAAAGGGTTATTCTGTGGGACAGCTTCTGTGATGGTTAATTTGATGTGTCAACTTGGTGAGGCTACATTACTCAGCTAGTTGGTTAAACATTATTCTAGATGTTTCTGTGAAGATATATTGTAAATTAGATTAACATTTAAATCAGTCGACTGTGAGTGAAGCACATTACCCTCTGTAAAGTGGATTGGCTTTATCCAATCAGTTGAAGGCCTTAGAAATAAGACTGACCTCCCCAAGCAAGAAGGAATTCCACCAGCAGACTGCCTTTGGGCTTTGCAGGGAGCCAGGGCAGAAAAGGAGGAAAGTGTCTGTGATTTAGTGCTACTGAGGAAGCCCATGCATTGACAGATTTGAAACACTCCTGGGAGTGGGTAGAGAGCATGTGGACTTTCTGCCATTTCAGGTAAGGTCAGAGTCCCAACAGATATATTGTCTTGTGACTTTTGAGTTTCTGGTTTTAGCCTGAGACTGTTGTAGGGTGTATAGAGGAGGATAAAGTAGAAAATGCCTAAGGTGGTGTTAGAAATGCAAATGCTTGTTCCCCAGTGCCACGAAGAAATAGCACTCCAACATAAATTTAATTTTCTCAGCAAAGCAATTTTTACTTTCTGCAGAAAGGGTGCCCCTCACAGATGGAACAATGGCGAGAGCACACTTGGACAGGGGAAGGGAAGGAGTTCTTATTCCTGATGCAGGTAGCCCCTACTGCTGTGTTGTTCCTCTATTGCCTAGGGTTGGACAGCACAGTCTAAGCTAATTCTGATTGGCTATTTTAAAAAGAGCAGGAGTATGAGCTGGAGTGGCAGGGTGAGTAGTTTGGCGGGAAAGATGGTTAGGAACAGGTAACTAAAGGTGACTTAGGTCAGAGTGGGTGACCAGGCATGACTCAGGTCAGAGCAGGTGACTGGAATGAGTCAGGATGAAGCAGGTGACCAGGGGAACAGATGTGAACTACTAACTAGGACCAGCAGGAAAGTTGTTTACTGAAACTAGAGGCAAGGGGTTGAAGAGAACCAGGAAGTTAAACTTTAAAATGGAGAATCAAAGAATAAGAGAGCTGAACATAATAACCTACTCGGCCGAGCGTGGTGGCTCACGCCTGTAATCCCAACACTTTGGGAGGCTGAGGTGGGTGGGTCACTTGAGGTCAGGAGTTCAAGACCAGCCTGACTAATATGGTGAAACCCTGTCTCCACTAAAAATACAAAAATTAGCCAGGTGTGGTGGCACATGCCTATAATCCCAGCTACTCGGGAGCCTGAGGCAGAAAAATTGCATGAACCCAGGAGGAGGTTGCAGTTAGCCAAGATTGCGCCACTGCACTCCAACCTGGGTGACAAAGTAAGACTCCATCTCAAAAAAAGAAAAAAAATAGGCTGGGCGCGGTGGCTCACACTTGTAATCCCAGCACTTTGGGAGGCCAAGGTGGGTGGATCACGAAGTCAGGAGATTGAGACCATCCTGGCTAACACCGTGAAACCCCGTCTCTACTAAAAATACCAAAAAAAAAAAAAATTTAGCTGGGCATGGTGGTGGGTGTCTGTAGTCCAAGCTACTTGGGAAGCTGAGGCAGAAGAATGGTGTGAACCCAGGGGGCGGAGCTAGCAGTAAGCCGAGATCACACCACTGCACTCTAGCCTGGGCGATACAGCCAGACTCTGTCTCAAAAAAAAAAAAAAACAAAAAACATGCTAACATACTGATTCTTTGAAGAGAAACTTGGGGTTCATTATATTTAACAGTGGGATCAGGGTGAGGGAAGGTTTCTAGAAGGAGGTGGTATCAAATTAAATGTTGCACAAATTGAAGTTAGGTAAAGAGGAGGTAACAGAATAAGGCAAGTTCACAAGTAGAGAGTCACAAGTAGTTCTATAAAACCAGAGGCACACAGGGGAGGAGGGTGGATAGGGTTAGAGAGAGCTGAGGTTAGAGAATGTGTTAATTGTACTGTCCAGCTAGGTGTGGTGGCTCACATTTGTAATTCCAGCACTTTGGGAAGCTGAGGTGGGAGGATTGCTTGAAGCCAGGAGTTTGAAACCAGGCTGGTCAACATAGCCAAAGTAAAAATATTAGCTGGGCATGGTGGTGCACACCTGTCTTCCCAGCTACTTAGGAGGCTGAGGTGGGACCATTGCTTGAGCAGGAGAGGTTGAGACTGCATTGAGCCATGATCACCCCACAGCACTCCAGCCTGGGCAACAGAGTGAGACCCTGTCTCAAATAGAAAAAGAAGAAAAAGAAATGTACCGTCCATACCCTGACACTCCTTTACCACCTATGTGTTTGTTTCCTATTATTCATCCCAGCTAGAGCCAAAGAAATAATACTGTATTTGATAGTCTTTATTTGAACTTCTGAGTGTGGGGAGATAATTCTCTACAGGACTTCCACGTTTCTGCACATCTAGGGAGCAGAGGCACTGACAACCTTTGTTCCAGATAATCTCTTTGGAAGATCGTGACCCTCTGGAGCAGAGGGCAGGTCTGTTTATCATCCACTATAATGAAGATAATGTCTCCTTCTGGGCAAAGGTTGGGTTTCTTTAAGCTCAGGATTCCTCAGCTATGAGGCACAACCTCCGCGTGTGTGGCATCTACCTGGACATCTTCACATCGCCCCGTGAATCTTGAGGGAGTGGGGGAGGGCGAGGGGAATCAACCCGAACATGAGGCTTGTGTTCCTTGCTGTGCTCTAAGTAGTAAAATCCTTTGCCTCTGAACCAGGAGCCGCATGTCTTCTATAGGTGCCCATGACCGCCGTACCAGGATAATCCTTTACAGTTCTGGACACTAGGTATTTGCTTTAAAACAAACAAAAACAGGCCAGACAAAGTGGCTCATACCTGTAATCCCAGCACTTTGGGAGGCTGAGGAGGGCGGATTGCTTGAGGCCTGGAGTTAAAGACTAGCAACATGGCGAAACCCCATCTCTCCTAAAAATACAAAAATTAGCCAGGCATACCCTTGTAATCCCAGCTACTCAGAAGGCTGAGGTGGAGAATCATCTGAGCCCGGGAGGTCCAGCTGCAGTGAGCCATGATCATGCCACTGCACTCAAGGCTGGGTGACAGAATGAGACCGTGTCTCAAAAAAAAAAAAAAAAGGCAGACTTTCGCCACGTTGCACAGGGTGGAGGGCAGTGGCTATTCACAGGCATGATCCTGGCACACTACAGCCTTGAACTCCTGGACTCAAGTGATCCTCCCACTCCAGCCTCCTGAGTAGCTGGGACTATAGCTATCTGCCACCACTGCCTGGCTAGGTATTTGCCTTTTGGGAAGTGAAAAATTAGCTGTAGTTCTGTGTTATTATGTTTTTTTTAAAACATATTCTCGTGGTGGATGAGTCTTATCCACACTGTGCCCTACTATATAGTTCTGGCTGACATAGGGTTTTAAGCCAGCTGACTTATCCATATCCCTTCAAATATCAGAACGCTTTGGCTTTCTATGAATATGAGCTTCCTGTGGAAGTAGAGAGCAACCAAATAAAAAGTGAATGTCTTATTGAAATAAATACAAATGCCAAGAAGCTCTGGGTTCCAGGCCAGGCAGTGCTGTGCTTGGCATATGGACTAGGTTCTTAACCACACAAAGGAACATAAGCCAAGTTAAGATTTGAAGAGGCTCATGCCTGTAATCCCAGCACTTTGTGGGGCTGAGACGGGCAGATCACCCGCGGTCAGGAGTTCGAGACCAGCCTGGGCAACATGGTGAAACCCCATCTCTACTAAAAATACAAAAAATTAGCCTGGCATGGTGGCACACACCTGTAGTCCCAGCTACTCAGGAGGCTGAGATGAGAATTGCTTGCACCTGGGAGACAGAGGTTGCAGCGAGCCAAGATCACACTACTGCACCCCAGCCTGGGCAACAGAGTGAGACTCCGTCTAAAAAAAAAAAAAAATGATTTGAAAAGACTGTGATCCAAGAAGCAATGAAACAGAGGTGATAATAGCCAAACAGGATGCGGCCATGAGATAATTCTAACCATCACCACTGTGGGGATGGACAATGTAATGTAACAGAAAGCCCTGTCTCTAGGCACCTTATATCAGCCTCTCAAATATCTCCTTATTCAAATCATCAAAACTATAACTTTAACAGAGGAAGTTAATCTATCATTTAGAAGCAAGTGTTAACTTTTTAGCCTTCAACCTGATCAGTGGGGTTGGTCAATATATTCCACTGAGTTATAGAAACAAATATAAACTATTATTTAAACATTTTAGATTACTAAGGAGAAGATCGCCCAGGCGTGGTGGCTCACGCCCGTAATCCCAGCACTTTGGGATGCCAAGGCAAGTGGATCACCTGAGGTCAGGAGTTCAAGACCAGCCTGACCAACGTGGTGAAATGCCATCTCTACTAAAAATACAAAAGTTAGCTGGGCATGGTGGCATGAGCCTGTAGTCCCAGCTTCTCAGAAGGCTGAGACAGGAGAATCGCTTAAACCCAGGAGGCGGAGGTTGCAGTGAGCCGAGATCGTGCCACTGCATTCCAGCCTGGGGAACAGAGCGAGACTCCGTCTCAAAAAAAAAAAAAAAAAAGTTGGGAGGGGAATCACTGTAAACTCTTAGGAATTCATCTTTGAAAGTATCTAAAAAACTCAAATCCTCTCTTCAAATCATCTAGGTCTAAATAGCAGAATGGAATGAATAAAGATGTAATATGTTTTATGTGACTTAATGTTTTTTGAGGGATCTAGTGAATACTTTTGTTTAGTTTTGTTTATAATTAATAATTTGTAAATAATTTAGGCACACTGAAGAAGAATCAAAGAGAAGGTATTTCTGTGTGTCTTTGTCTCTGGAGATGCACTTTATCCAAATATGGCATTATCTGAAAAATAAAAAGTATTTGTTATATAACTTATAATACATTTCATGGTTTTTAAAATAACCCTGGAGGGCAGAGTATTGTGTTTCAGATACAGGAACTACGGTTTAGAAACACCAAATGGGCTGGGCGCAGTGGCTCACACCTGTAATCTCAGCACTCTGGGAGGCCGAAGCCGGTGGATCACCTGAGGTCAGGAATTCGAGGCCATCCTGGCCAACATGGTGAAACCCCATTGCTACTAAAAAAATACAAAAATTAGCTGGGCGTGGTGGCGCACACCTGTAGTCCCAGCTACTCAGGAGGCTGAGGCAGGAGAATCGGTTGAACCCGGGAGGCAGAGCTTGTAGTGAGCTGAGATCATGTCACTGCACTCCAGCCTAGGCGACAAAGCGAGACTCTGTCTCAAAAAACAAAAAAACAAACAAACAAAAAATTAGCCGGGTGTGGTGGTGCACACCTATAATCCCAGCTACTCTGGAGGCTGAGGCAGGAGAATCGCTTGAACCCCAGCCAGCAGAGATTGCAGTGAGCCAAGATCAGGCCACTGCACTATGGCTTGTGACAAAGTCACAGAGTGAGACTCAATAAATTAAAAAACAAAACAAAAAACACCAAATGGCTGGGCACAGTGGCTCACACCTGTAATCCCAGCACTTTGGAAGGCTGAGGCAGGCAGATTGCTTGAGGTCAAGAATTTGAGACCAACCTGGGCAACATGGCAAAACTCAGTCTCTATTAAAAAAATACAAAAGTTAGCCAGGCATGGTGGCACATGCCTATAGTCCTAGCTACTCGAGAGGCTGCGAGGTGGGAGGATCGCTCGAGCCCAGGAGGTTGAGGATACAGTGAGCCATGATCACACCACTGCACTCCAGCCCCAGTGACAGAGCAAGATTCTGCCTCCTAAAAGAAAAAAAAGTCAAATTACTAAAAGCATGGTACTATGCTTTTAGTATAGTATCTTTATTTCATTGGGTAGACCCAGATAAACAAGTTTAAAAATAGCAAACGTCAGCCGGGTACAGTGGCTCACGCCTGTAATCCCAGCACTTGAACAGAGGCAAATGACAGAGGCAAAACTTGAACCCAGGTGTTTTTAATTCTATGTATTTAAATAAACTGCCCCTCTTTTGGGCTCCACATCTCCAAGTGGAAGATTGAAAAGAGGGCCTGGAAATCTCTAAAAGAACATCTTTCCTAGTCTTCACATCACATTATTAATAGAAGCAAAGAGGAGCTCCCAGAACTCCAAATACTCTATGAGAAATCTGTAACATTCCTTCCTCTAAACACACAGGCCTCCCCACCAGGTTAGACCACCACTAGGTTCGACCATCAGGACTAATCTCATTTTGTCCCTTATCCCTGTTTACACTGGACTCCTCAAGGAACCCAGGAGTCCTGGGTCATCCCTCATGCCCTGGATAGTAATAGTAAGTTCTATGGGCAGCAGTACACCCTCCATCCAACATTTCCTATCCCCCACCCTGCTGTTTTCTGTTTCCCCATAGCTCTTACCCATTTATCACTATCTGATCTGACATTTACTTTTTTTTTTTTTTGAGACGGAGTTTCGATCTTGTTGCCCAGGCTGTAGTGCAGTGGTTCAATCTCTGCTCACTGTAACCACCTCCTCCCGGGTTCAAGCGATTCTCCTGCCTCAGCCTCCAGAGTAGCTGGGATTACAGGCGTGCACCACCATGCCCAGCTAATTTTTGTGGGATTTCATCATGTTGGTCAGGCTGGTCTTGAACTCCTGACTTCAGATGATCCACCCACCTTTGCCTCCCAAAGTGCTGGGATTACAGGCGTGAGCCGCTGTACCCAGCTGACATTTACTATTTTTTAACTTGTTTATCTGGCTCTACCCAATGAAATGTAAGCTTTTTTTTTTTTTTTTTAAAGAAATAGAGACGGGGCCTCTCTAAGTTGCCCACACTGGTCTCAAACTCCTGGGCTCAAGGGATCCTCCTGCCTCAGCCTACCAAAGTGTTAGGATTTCAGGCGTGAGCCAGCACACCAAAACCTTAGCTTTCTGAGGTAAAATTTTATTCATCACTGTATTGACAAGCACGTAGAAGAGTGCCTGACATAAAGTAAGCACTCACATGTATTTGAAAGAATAAAGAGTAAATGAGTGTTTCTTCCTCTCGCACAGGTATGCAAAGGAAAAGAATACAGTGCCTTCCAATTCTTATGGAATATGTCCACAAAATATACTGTATATTTTTTTTTTCTTTTGAGATGGAGTCTCACTCTGTTGCCCAGGCTGGAGTGCAATGATGCAATCTTGCCTCATTGCAACCTCCACCTCCCGGGTTCGAGCAATTATCCTGCCTCAGCCTCCCAAGTAGCTGGGACTACAGGCATGTGCCACCATGCTTGGCTAATTTTTATATTTTTTAGTAGAGACGGGGTTTCACCATGTTGGTCAGGCTGGATAAATATACTGTATTATTACCCTCTTGCATTTCTAAAGATTATTCCACAGCAACCATCTAAGGTTGCTGCGAGAAACTCTTAAGTTTGTGAGCCACTGCCCAAGGACATAGCTATTGGTCTCGAGAGAAATGAGGTAAGTTCTACCACTACTTCTGGGAAAGTATATTCCATGTCCCAACATTTATTCAATCAGCCAGGAAACGTTTCCTCAGTTCCTAATTTGTGCCAGACACTCTTCTAGGGACTACTGAGGATAAAGTAGTGAAAAAAGCAGATACCATCCCTGCCTTCAAGGAGCTTGGCCTTCATTAGGGAGTGATAAACACTGTGGTAAAAAAGAAAGCAGGGTAAGGGATTGTAGAGTGTTGAGGAGTGTGGCTTAGATAGGGAGGTTTCTTTTGTTTATGTTTTATTTCAGTAGTTTTTGGGGTAAAGGTGGATTTTGGTTACATGGGTAAGTTCTGTAGCGGTGATTTCTGGGATTTTGGTGCACCCATCACCCGAGCAGTGTACATTGTACCCAATATGTAGTCTTTTATCCCTCGCCCCTCTTTTACCTTTCTTTCCCTTGGGGTTCCTAAAGTCCATTATATCATTCTTATGCCTTTGCATCCTCATGGCTTAGCTCCCACTTATAAGTCAGAACAGACAATATTTGGCTTTCCATTTCTGAGTCACTTCACTCAGAATAATGGTCTCCTGGCAGGGCACAGTGGCTCAAGCCTATAATCCCAGCACTTTGGGAGGCTGAGGTGGGTGGACCACTTGAAGCCAGGAGTTTGAAACTGGCCTGGCCAACATGGCAAAACCCCATCTCTACTAAACAAACAAACAAACAAATAGCCAGGCGTGGTGGCAGGCAATCCCAGCTCCTTGGAAGGCTGAAGCACTTGAACCTGGAGGGCAGAGGTTGCAGTGAGCTGAGATCACGTCATTGCACTTCAGCCTGGGCGACAGAGAGACTCAGCTTTCACAGAATTGAAGAGAGTTAGGGCCTTGCTCTGGGTTAGGCTTTGGCTTAAGGAAATGTTGTGGCTGGGTTGATCTGTCCAGATCACTGAAACTTTCTCCTATCGGCAATAAGGCTGTTTTGCTTTCTTATCATTTGTGTGTTCACTGAAGGAAATTTTTAATTTCCTTCAAGAGTTTTTCCTTTGCATTGATAATTTGGATAAATGATTGGCACAAGAGTCCTGGCTTTTGGCCTATCTTGGCTTTTGCCATGCCTTCCTCACTAAGCTTAACCATTTCTAGCTTTTGATTTAAAGTGAGATGTAATACTTCCTCCTTTCATCTCAGGTGATCTGCCCACCTCAGCCTCCCAAAATGCTAGGATTATAGGCATGAGCCACCGTGCCCAGCCCAAGAGTTATTTTTGAATAAAACGAACACATGACTCTTACAGATGAACTCTAAACACAGTGGAGAATTTCAGCTTTCTACACCACACTGTATCACACTCTACTCCACTTCCTGAGAGCACTGGGCAAGGGTAAAGTCACAGCCACATCAAATAAGTGAAATCTCAAATGTGGTGATTCTTTTGTTTCTGATCTAAATTAGTAACTTCTTGGTTGTATTAGATATGGTTACACACCCCCTTCTCTTTTTTTCAGATAAATGAAAAAATGCTATCTCAGCTGCCTGCCTAGACTAAGAAACAAGTATTCACACTGAAGGTATTTATCAGCTCCCCTTCTTCCTTCTATAAAATAATACCACCACCATCACCACCATGCCATCCCCTGCCCCCAACAACTTTCCTCCACGTTTTTTTTTTTTTTTTTTTGATAAGGAGTCTTAGTTTGTTGCCTGGGCTGGAGTACACTGGAGTGATCTCGGCTCACTGCAAACTTCACCTCCAGTATTCAAGCAATTCTCCTGCCTCAGCCTCCCAAGTAGCTGGGAGTAAAGGTGCCTGCTGCCATGCCCAGCTAAGTTTTGCATTTTTAGTACAGATGGGGTTTCACCATGTTGGCCAGGCTGGTATCAAACTCCTGACCTCAGGTGATTCGCCTGCCTCGGCCTCCCAAAGTGCTGGGATTAGAGGCGTGAGCCACTGTGCCCAGCCCCTCCACATTTTATTAGGGCTTTTTGTATGATGTTTATTATCAAAAGGATCTCCACTGCACCTCAATTTTGCACATGAAATGTTTGTAAAGGCCAGAAAAATTGATGAGATAGCAGGTTTCTGAAGTTTTTGTGGTCTATTGTAATTACTGTAACAACTCTTATCAAAATGTGGTTCTCAGGCCATCAGCATCAGCATCACCTTAGTCTGCTGAGAATGCAGATTTCCAGGCACCTCCCTAGAGCCTACTGAATGAGATGGCTTGAAGCTGGGGCCTGGGACTCTGTATGCATAAAAAAATGAGAGTCTCTGGCCTATAATACATCTTACAATCCACCAACCTGTTTAATGACACTTTTACTTTCAAACAGATTGCCTTTATGCTATACCAGGGCAATACTCAGGTACCTCTTTCAATCCCAGAAATTATTCCTAATTCTTAGGAATACCTACAAATCCTTCCTATAAATTGGTTAAGAATCGTATCATAGGCCAGGTGTGGTGGCTCACGCCTGTAATCCTAGCACTTTGAGAGGCCGAGGCGGGCGGATTACCTGAGGTCTGGAGTTCAAGACCAGCCTGACCAACATGAAGAAACCCCGTCTCTACTAAAAATATTAAAAAAACAGTCAGATGTGGTGGTGCATGCCTGTAACCCCAGCTACTTGAGAGGCTGAGGCAGGAGAATCGCTTGAACCCGGGAGATGGAGGTTGCGGTAAGATGAGATTGTGTCATTGCATTCCAGCCTGGGCAACAAGAGCAAAACTCTGTCTCAAAAAAAAAAAAAAAAAAAAAAAAAAAACAAACCATCCTATCATAGGCTGGGTGTGGTGGCTCATGCCTGTAATCCCAGCACTTTTGGAGGCCATGGTGGGTGGATCACCTGAGGTCAGGAGTTTGAGACCAGCCTGGTCAACAAGGTGAAACCCCGTCTGTACTAAAAATACAAAAATTAGCCAGGCGGCAGGCAGCGCTGTATTCCCAGCTGCCTGGGAGGCTGAGGCAGAAGAATCGCTTGAACTCGGGAAGTGGGAGTTTGCAGTAAGCCGACATGGTGCTGGGCTGCACTCCAGCCTGGGCGACAAGAGCAAAACTCCGCTTCAAAAAAAAAAAAATTTCCTATCATAACTTCTCACTTTTTGGTGGAAAGTGCTTTCTCTCCATGTGAGCAAGGAGACTCAGCTTGACCCAGGAGCTCCTGCCACTGTCGGGAACAGGCTCTTTGGTTGTGGTATGAGTAAAGGACTGACAGGCACCCGGGAAGTGCCTCTTTTGAACTCTCAGTAAGCTGACTTGATTGCTTCGTTCCACCAAGCAGTTGGATTCACGCTTTTTGTTTATCTCCTCCAGGAGATGTTGTTTGCTTACTCCATGTTTTTTAATTATTTCAATGGTTCTGTTTATAGATGCCATTATGCTCACAAACCAATTGTCAAGCGATTCTTGCTGTCCTACAAACAAAAGAAAAAATACTTTTGATTGTCTTTTTGACTCAGAAGCCAGTATTCACAATCACGTTGACCAGTTTCTCTTTTTTCCTTCTATACAATACCACCACCACCACCACCAAGCCTCCCACCCCACACTTGACTTTTTTATGTACTTATTTTTTTAGACAGGGTCTTGCTCTGTCTTCCAGGCTGGCACGCAGTGGCATGATCTCAGCTCACTGCAACTTCTACCTTCCAGATTCAAGTGATTCTTGTGCCTCAGCCTCCTAAGTAGCTGGAATTACAGGCTCGCAAAACCATGCCCGGCTAATTTTTCTGTTTTCAGTAGAGATGGGGTTTCACCATGTTGGCCAGGCTGGTCTCGAACTCCTGGTCTCAGGTGATCTGCCTACCTCAGTTTCCCAAAATGCTGGGATTACAGGTGTGAGCCACCATGCCCAGTCAGCACACCTCACAATTTTTTTTTTTTTTTTTTTTTTTTTTTTTTTTTTTTTTGAGACGGAGTCTCACTCTGTCGCCTAGGCTGGAGTGCAGTGGCTTGATCTCAGCTCACTGCAATCTCTGCCTCCTGGGTTCAAGCAATTCTGCCTCAGCTTCCTAAGTAGCTGGGATTACAGGCATGCACCACCACGCCCGGCTAATTTTTTTTTTTTTTTTTGTATTTTTAGTAAAGACGGGGTTTCACCATATCGGCCAGGTTGGTCTCGAACTCCTCAACTTGTGATCCACCTGCCTCGGCCTCCCAAAGTGCTGGGATTACAGGCATGAGCCACTGCACCCGGCCACACCTCACCTTTTATTATTGTTTCTTAAGGGTTTTATTTTTTGTTTTTTAGGTTTTCTTCAGGGGTAACAAAGGTTAAAAAGGTATGGTAAGAGGATATATTATTGTTTTTGAAAATTATACTATGCATTGTTTTTTGCTTTTAGAAGCATTTATTATTTCTTCTGATTATAAAAAAAATACAAGTTTATTACATATATTAATAATGTAATAGATAAATAATACATGTTTAATGCATGATTATAAAAAATAATACATATTCATGGTAGATAATTAAGAAAATACAGAAAAACATAAAGTAGAAAAGTTAAAATTACTCTTTTTCCAGAGACATCCATTAATATTTTGGGTATCACTTTCCCAATAAGTATCCAAAGGGATTTTAATTTTTAAAAGTGGTGGCCAGGCACTGTGGCTCATGCCTGTAATCTCAGCACGTTGGGAGGCCGAGGCAGACAGATCACGAGGTCAGGAGTTCAAGACCAGCCTGGCCAACATAGTGAAACCCCGTCTCTACTAAAAATGAGCCGGGCATGGTGGCAGGCACCTGTAATCCCAGCTACTCCGGAGGCTAAGGCATGAGAATCACTTGAACCCAGGAGGCAGAGGTTGCAGTGAGCCAAGATCACGCCATTGCACTCCAGCCGGTGTGACAGCGTGAGACTCCATCTCAAAAAAAACAAAGTGACCAGGCACAGTAGCTCACGCCTATAATCCCAACACTTTGGAAGGCCGAGGTGGGAAGATCACTTAAGCCTGGGAGGTGAAGATTGTAGTGAGCTGAGATTGTGCCATTGCACTACAGCCTGGGTGACAGAGCAAGATTTGGAAAGAGAGAGAAATATTCAGAACTGATAAATGATATAGTTCACAGTCTCAAGAAGCTCAAACAATAGCAGTCAGGATTTTTAAAAAGCCCACGCTGAGATTACAGTGAATTTAAAAAGAAAAGAAAATCTTAAAAGCAACCAGAGAATAAAAGGAGGGGCAATTGAACCAACAGCTGACTCCTCAACAAGCAAAAATATAAGCCAGAAGATGAAGAAATGGGGCCTGGTGGGGTGGCTCACACCTGTAATCCCAGCACTTTGGGAGGCTGATGTGGGTGGGTCACCTGAGGTCAGGAGTTCGAGACCAACCTGGCCAACATGGTGAAACTCTGTCTCTATTAAAAATACAAAAAAATTAGCCGGGCATGGTGGTATGCACTTGTAATCCTAGCTACTCAGGAGGCGGAGGCAGGAGAATTGCTTGAACCCAGGAGGCAGAGGTTATAGTGAGTCAAAATCATGCCACTGCACTCCAGCTTGGGCGGCTGAGCAAGACTCTGTCTCAAAAAAAAAAAAAAAAAAAAAAAAAATACATTCATTATCACCAGTCACTAGGAAAGTGTAAATCAATACTACAATGAGATATCACTAGATACCACTAGAATGGCTGAAATGAAAAAGATTGACCAAACCATGTGTTAGCAAAGATATGGAGGACCTGGAATTCTCATATGCTGCTAGTAAGAATGTAAAATGGAACAATGTCTTTGGAAAACAATCATGCAGCTTCTGAAAAAGTTAAATATACTCCTATTATTTGATCCATTCCTAGGTATTTACGCTAGAGCAATGAAATTCTCCACACACACGCATAAAGAAATGTATCAGTACATATGAAAACTAACTCATTAATTTCATCACAGCTTTCTAAAAAACTTTTGTGTTTTTTTTACACAGCTTTATTTTTATTTATTTATTTTTGAGACAGGGTCTCTTTCTGTCACCCAGGCTAGAGTGAAGTGGTGTGACCATGGCTTACTGTATCCTCAACCTCCCAGCCTCAAGTCATCTTCCCACCTCAGCCTCCCAAGTGCTGCGATACAGGCGCAAGCCACCACACCTGGCTATTTTTGTTTTTATTTTTCATAGAGATGAGGTCTCACTATGTTTCTAAGGCTAGTCTTGAATTCCTGGGCTCAAGGGATCCTCATGCCTTGGCCTCCCAGAGTACTAAGATTACAGGTGTGAGCAGAGCCACCAGGCCCAGCCCAAAGCTTTATTTTCATAAGCCAAAAAGTTCTAACAATCCAAATGTCCATCAACAGCAGAACAAATAAATTGTGGTATATGTACACAATGGACACTGAGTTATAAAATATATTTTTTATATATATATAGTATGCATATAATATATTCCTTTTACCTGATATGTTAATTCATCAATGTATATATTTTGAGTAGTGTTCATATATTGTTGATAAACACAATATTATGGCTGAATCTCTAAATAACTAGACTGAGTTTAAAAAAAAAAAAAAAGCCAGACAAATCAGAATGTATAGTGTATGATTCCATGCATATAAAACTCTAGGAAATATTAGGCTAGGCATGGTGGCTCACACTTGTAATCCCAGCACTTTGGAAAGCTGAGGAAGGAGGACTGCTTGAGCTCAGGAGTTCAAGACCAGACTAAGCAACATAATAAGACCTCGTCTCTACAAAAAATTCAAGAACTTAACTATGTGTGGTGGCACCTGCCTGTAATCCTAGCTACTCAGGAGCGGGTACAAACAACAAACAAACAAAATTAATTTTAATTTTAAATTCTTTTGTTTTTATTTGTTTTGTTTTTTTGAGACAGAGTCTTGCTCTGTCGCCCAGGCTGGAGTGCACGTTCAAGCGATTCTCATGCCTCAGCCTCCCAAAGTAGCTGGGATTACAGAGGCGTGCCACCATGCCCAGCTAATTTTCGTACAGGCGTGAGCCACCGTGCTCGCCTGTTTTTGTTTTGTTTTGTTTTGTTTTGTTTAAGACAGAGTCTCACTCTGTCACCCAGGCTAGAGTGCAGTGGTGCAATCTTGGCTCACGGCAAGCTCCGCCTCCCGGGTTCACGCCATTCTCCTGCCTCAGCCTCCCCAGTAGCTGGGACTACAGGTGCCAGCCACCACGCTCGACTAATTTTTTGTATTTTGAGTAGAGGGGGGGTTTTACCGTGTTAGCCAGGATGGTCTCAATCTCCTGAGCTCGTGATCCGCCCGCCTTGACCTCCCAAAGTGCTGGGATTACAGGCGTGAGCCACGGTGCCAGCCCCGCGCTTGCCTTTCAAATTCTTTTATTTATTTTTTATTTTTTTATTTTTTTGAGACAGAGTCTCGCTCTGTTTCCAGGATGGAGTCCAGTGGAGCGATATCGGCTCACTGCAACCCCCGACTCTCTGGTTCATGTGATTCTCCTGCCTCAGCCTCCCCAGTAGCTGGGATTACAGGCATGCGCCACCACACCCAGCTAATGTTTGTAAGTCCTTTTAAATTCTTTTGGAGTGGGAGACATCATCTTTCTTTTTCCTTTTTTTTTTTTTTTTTCCTTTTGAGATGGGGGCCTTATTCTGCCGCCCAGGCTGGAATCCAGTGGCATGATCTTGGCTCACTGCAACCTCTGCCTTCTGGGCTCAAGTGATCCTCCATCTTCAGCCTCCTGAGTGGCTGGGACTACCACAGGCGGCACCACCATGCCCAGCTAATTTTTTTGTATTTTTGGTAGAGACAGGGTTTCACCACGTTGCCCAGGCTGGGCTGAAACTCCTAAGCTCAAGCGATCTACCCACCTCAGCTTTTCAAAGTGCTGGGATTACGGGTATGAGCCACTGTGCCTGACATTAATTATTCTTTTTATTGCTAGACTTTAGGTTGTTTTCAGTTTATTTTTATAATAACGCTTTGAAACACATTGAAGTGACAGAAATCACACAAACACACATTGTTTTAGGAAAGCTACCAAAGTCATCAATTTTTCATTCCTAAATAAGCAGAGCGGTACCTTTTTTTTTCTTTTGAGAAGGAGTCTTGCTCTGTCGCCCAGGATGGGCATCACTCCGTCTCAAAAAAAAAACAAAATAATAAAATATAAAAAGGTCAGTTGGCCAATTGCCTGTTTTTGTTTGTTAGTTTTGAAATGGAGTCTCACTGTCACCCAGGCTGGAGTGCAATGGCGTGATCTTGGCTCACTGCAACCTCTGCCTCCTGGGTTCAAGTGATTCCCATGCTTCAGCCTCCTGAGTAGCTGGGGCTATAGGTGTGCACCACCATGCCCATCTAAATTTTTTTTGTATTTTTAGTAGAGAGGGGTTTCACCATGTTGGACAGGCTGGTTTTGAACTCCTGACCTCAAGTGATCTGCCTGCCTTGGCCTCCCAAAGTGCTGGGATTACAGGCGTAAGCCATCATCCC